CCCCGGAGACGCTGTGGACGGGGTTGGGCAGGGCACAGACACCAGGCGCGACTCGAGTCGGGCCAGCGGGGGAGAAGTCCTCCTCCGGAAGCAGGGCATCCATTCTGCCCCGATGCCCCACTCAGTGACGGCACCTGCCCCTGGGAAAGCCGTCTGGGGCCACGGGGTGACGCCGCGGAGCCACGTCCTCCAGCCCACGTCAGGGTTTCTGCACAAGGGCCACGCGAGTGAACGGCCCATCATTTATCAGAGGTTCCTGCCAACAGATCCCACCTCCATGATCAAGCTCCCCGAGCGCCGGGCTCTGGGCTCTTACCTACGGTGTGGACCACGAGCTCCGAGTGAAGGAGCCCTCGTCCCAGCCCCGCGATGGGGAGGGGCCGGAGCTCAGGAGAGACCCAGGGGTGTCTGACATTTCACCTCGAGGGGTTCCGGGAAGGTGGCGGGTCGGACAGGCTCGTCCAGCCAACCCGCGGCCCAGCCGCTCAGCCCCGTTGGTTCTGCCCGGTACAGCGCGGCCCCTGGGCTCTGAGGAGCGTGCGGGGCCCTGGCCGCCGTTCACCCGGCAGGTGACTGAGAGCCCACCCTGCCAGGCGCTAAGATTTCTCTAGGGATGCCAGCCTGCCAGCGTCTCAAAACCCACCCTGGAGTTTAATTCCTTCGGGTCCAGGCACAGCACCACCAGGAACAAATCCCCTCCAAATGTAAGGGGCCTGGGCCGTGCATCTTCAGGGCACTCGCTGCCACCGCAGGGTGGACAGAGACCTGTGCCGGTCAGGGAGGAGGGTGGGGGGACGGTCACGCCAGGGTGGCGACGGTTTGATCCAGGCCCCAACGTCCTCTGATGGGCAAGAGCTGACTGGGACGCTGCCTGGGGATCTGCCCCGGGGACCCCCTAATAGGGGCGCCTGCAGAGAGGGGATGGGAAGCGGGAGACTGTGGGGCTGGGGCTGGGGCTGGGACAGGACAGACAGGGGGGCGGGACCGGACGTTGGCCCCTCTCCCGCTGCCAGGCCTGGCCCTGCATCTCCACAGGTGCCGTTCTCGCCTCCGCACCCCTGGACTCGTAATTTCTCCTTCTTGGGGGAAGGCAGCCCTGATGCCTGAAGACCCAGGGGCCCCCACTCAATCCTCCCATCTCTCACCAGCACCCACCTGACTCTCCACGGGGAGAAAGGGCCCCTGTGTTTCCAAGCAGGTCCCAGTCGCCAGCCCCCGAAATCCACCGCACGGGGTCGCGGGGCCAGCCCAGCCCGCCTGCACCGCCCGCAGACCCCCAGGGCTCACAGCTTTCCCCGGGGAGGCTGGTTTCTCTCCCTGGTCCCCAGGGCAGAGGTGGCTGGGAACCAGATGGACCCACTTGGGGTGGGGAGAGCCCCGAGGAACAGGGTCTGGGGCATTCCACCGAGGGCGGCCTTACCGGTGGCCAGCAGCCATGCCGGACCTGGCACAGGGCCCCACGCACTGGGCTCCCCGATGCCTGTCCCCCACAGCCTGCCCTGCCTGTCTGCCTCGTTCCCGTGTTCCCTCAGCCTCCTGCTCGGCTTTGTCTCGTCTCAAGGAAAACGCCTACAAGAGCCAGGGAGATGGTCAGACACGGAGGCCCAGCCTGGCCCACAGGCGTCCCTACGGCCGCCCTGGACAGGGCAGGATGCCCCCGTTGGACTGGGCCAGTCCCGTCCACAGCTGAGAAGGGGTTGGTTCCAGGGGCCTCCAGGGCAGGCCAGGAACACCCACGTGGGCAGTGTGGGGCTCCAGTGCCCCCGCCCCCATGAACCCCGCTCTGAGCCCAGTTCTGGAAAGCAAACGTGGGTGAGAATGAGTGTCCCCCAGGATGCTGGCAGCCCCCACATCTCCCTTTCACGGGCATCAGCTGGACCCAGAGATAAAGATGTCCCCAGCCCTGGCCGGTTTGGCTCAGCGGTTAGAGCGTCGGCCTGCGGTCCGGAGAGACCCGGGTTCGGTTCCCGCTAAGGGCATGGACCTCGGTTGCAGTTTGTCCCCGGCCCTGGTTGGTCGTGCGGGTGGCAGCCACTCGATGTGTCCCTTCACGTCGATGTTTCTCACTCTCTCTCCCTTCCTCTCTCTCCCTCCCACTCTATCTGTACAAAAAATGGAAAAATATCCTCGGGTGAGGATAAAAAAATAAAAATAAAAATAAAAAGATGCCCCCAGAAGGCCCAGGAGCCCCCCTGCGGCTCACAGCACTGCGCCCGTCCCGAGGGGCAGGAAGGCCAGTGTCAGAGGACAGAGCTGCACACAGGTTTGGCTGCAGGCTCCAGGAGGAGGGGCGAGCCAGTGTGCCCCGCTCCTGCCCACTCCGGTTCCCAAGTGCAGAACTGGCCCGGCCAGGCCAGCGACCCGGCTCGGACTGGGCAGGCTCCCGAGGGTCCCAAACCCCAGCCTCCTGGGGCTGGCTCACGGGCTGCCCCGGGGCGTGGCGGGAAGCACCCTGGGCGGGCTCTGGCGGGTCCTGTCTGCACTGCCTCTAACCGGCAGAGGCGGCCTCCAGCTGGGAGGGGTCCGGACCTCCCGGAGGTCTTTCCCAGGGAATGCCTACCTCATCTGACTGAGACAGGGCAGATTTCAGCAGGTAGAAACAGGAAAAAAATAATAACCCCAGCCCACACGGTCATTACGCCACCAAGCTGAATCTCTGCAGAAGCCGTCACCCCCCGTTAAATAACTCGGGGTGCTCTGGGCCGCAGACGAGGCTGCTCCTGAAAGGCCTTGCTTCTCTCCCCAGAGTTGCCCGAGGCTCAGCAGAGCCGGGATCAGGAACCTCTCCGGGCTTCCTTTCATCTTCGAGTGGCCACCCCCACGCTTTCCCACAGGCCCCGAAGCCCAGCCACCGCAGCCGAGGAGCAGGGGCCCGCACCAGCCACCACTCCTGAAGACGGACACGCGATGCCACGCTTGTGTCGGGCCGCCCCGCAGCACCACCGCAGCCACGAAATTCCTTTCATCTTTGTTTCGACGGGTGAAGCTCAACGCCAAAGCTTTTGGTTTGTGAGTCATGCTCCTTACAGCTGGGGTGGTTAAGGGAGGGAGAACGACAGAAAGAAGCATATTCCAAAGAAATTGTGCTGAGCTGGTTCCCCGAACAGGGAGGTCACGTCCCGGGAAGGAGGAGCCGGGCCCTCCCTGGGACCTCGTCGGCTTCCTCCGCTCCCACCTGCGAGATGCCCCTCGGCGCCTGGTTGCACCTGCCCCGGACAGCGGCAGCCTCGGGCCGAATGGAGCCCACCCAAGCCCCCTGCGCAGAGTGTCTCTGCTTCCCCAGCCTGCTGTTTACAGGGAGCGTCTTCCTTGGCATCACTACAGACTCGAGATGGGAGGAGGAGGAGAGAGCAGAGGGCGCGAGGGCCCCTGAGACGCAGACCCGGCTGGCCTTGCTGCCCAGGAACTTCCTCTGCGGCAGCTGGGAAGTGGACACCCGGGGACGAGAGGCTGTGCTTGGAGAGCTTGCACCCGTGTGCGTCACATCCCTTCCCCGGGCACAGAGGCCGATCGGAGCCGCTGCCCCTGGGCAAGGCACGAAAGTGCCCTTGGCAGAGTTGTTGTGAACTAACATTTGCTCTGGGCCTGCTTGTGTGGGAAACACACACACACACACGCGCACACACACGCACGCGCACACATGCATGCACATGTGCATATGCACACACGCGCACATGCACACACACGCACACATGTGCATATGCACACACACGCACATGCACACACGTGCATACACACATGCACACACACATCCGTGGCTGCTGTTCGTTTTATTGCCGCTGTTATTGGTGGGTTATCGACAAACTCCTGTCATCCACTCAGCTCTCAGGTCCGGGGGAGAGGGGAGGAGGGACCCCACCTCCCCTCCACCTGCATCGGCCCCCTCTCCTGGTCAGCAGGGACACACGCGTCGGGAAGGTGAACTGCGGCCACGGCGGGCCCCTCCCTGCAGCGCACGCCGCCGAGCGTCCGTGACCTCTTGGTGCGCTGGCTGTGAGCTCTCCTGCCCTATGAAAGCAAAGGCCCAGCAGCCTCCCAGGGCGTCCCACCCGGCCCCAGGGGCCCGGGGCTCAGCTGGCCGCTGAAAGAATTCGTTTCTCAGGACAGTGCTCGCTGCCCAAGCTGCAAGCGTGTCCCACTGCCTCCTTCTCAGAAAGCGACCGAAGAGACCCGTCCCAGCAAGACAGCTTCCTGCCCCGCCAGTGGGTTGGGAGGCTGCACGCGCCCACGGCATGTGGGCGTCCACAGAAGGCACCGGCTGCCCAGGGGTCGGCACGGCGGGGCCCGGCGAACACGCGGTGGGCGCCCAGGACAGGGGGGAAGCCCACCTGCACCCGTGGAGGTGCCTGGAGTTGCTGGGTGGCGTGTGGGGGAGTCAACAGGCAGAGGCGTGTGGAGGCCAGAGGCTGGGGGCAGTCGGGGCTCAGCCCCAGATGGTGGCCACTCTCAGCAGTGTGGGTAGCGGCCTGGGAGGCTCCGCGGAAAAGGCATTCTCTCTCCCTGCCCAGGCGGGGACAGCAAGGCTCAAGGCAGTATTCCCTGTCCTGTGCGGGGTCCAGGGTGGCACAAAACTAGCTGTCAGGTGTCCAGGTGGTATGGGGGGGGGGCTCCCCGCAGGTGCAGAGGGGACTTGGGTACCATTCCTTTTCACACCCTCAGAAAAGCACCAGAGAAGAGTGAAGCAAGATGAACACCCACAAAGCACAGGGAGGGGGCCCATCATTCCTGACAGCACCCACCCGCCACACAGCCCTGCTGCCCAGTCCAGAGGGGACGGAGCGGCCCTCCCGCCCCGTCAGAACAGAGTAGAAAGAGCGCACGGACCTTCCCGCAGCCCCAGGCTTCCTGCCCCTCGCACAACTGCCACGGGGCCCCTCCCACTGGTCTCCTGGGCCTGGCAGCCAAGGTGTCTGCCCGCTCTGCTCTGGTCCCCAGGCTGAAGTCATGAAAAGGGCCAGGGTAGCACTGGGTCCCTGGCCACATCCCTGCCCGGCACCTACCTCCAGCCGGCGTCCTCCCTCGGCCTCTGGGCTCTCCCGGCGCCGCTTAGAGCATCTCCCAGCGGCGCAGCCTCTGCCGGGCCAGGTCCGGGGAGGAGCAGACTTGTCGAAGGAGAGCGTCGGGAGGGAGGAAAAACTCCTCCGGGGAGAAGGCGCGGGACGGGGGAGGCCAGAGCAGGCGGCAGCCAGTCCCGTCTGTCCGGGCACCTTGAGCTCGTCAGCTCCGAGGTCTCTCTGGCCAGAAGCGGAAACGGGGTTTCTCGAAAGTAAAGGAAGAGCCGGAGGACGCGGGCCGGCGCGTAAGGAGCGCAGCCCAGCCAGATGTGCGCAGAGCCTCCCCTGCTCCCCGCGCATCTCGTCCAAACAGCAGCCGCCGCGGATTAACTGTGTGTGTGCCCGCGGGCAGGGAAGGGCCGCCCGCCTCCTGGCCCCCCGCCCGGGGCACCAGCCCAGGCTGGGACCAGGGTGGCCACTCGGAGTGTCTGGAAGTTGACCCAGGCTTGGGGGCAGCTGGGAGTCCCAGACAAGGCTTGTTGGGAACCCAAGTTGCTTGGGGGGGGCTGGGGGGATGGGGGGGAATTCAGGGAGCTTCGGGCTCACTGGTAGTTAACTGGGAGGGATCCAGTCCCCAGACCGTGGCAGACCTGAGACACGCCTTCCGTCAGGGCCTCCACCTGGGGTCCAGGGACCGTGGGCAGGTTTGGGGAGCTCTGGGGATCCCCAAAGCAGCATATGTGCATGCACGCACATGTAAGTACACTGGGCAGCGTTGGTCTGAAAGGGTGGGAGCCCTCAGCTGGGAGCAGCAGATTTGCAGAGGTCGGCCAAGCCCGGGCGGACGGGAGGGACTGGGGCACTTCGGGGTCTCATTCCTCGAGGGGAGGACAGGACGCGCTGTCACCTCGAGCATGAGTTCTTTCTGAGCAAGTCCCTCAGCCCGCCTCAGGCCTGACAGCTCCCTGGCACCCGGGCGCTGCGCCCCCAAACTCGGAGCCAGACTTGCTTGTTCCGGGGTCTTATCATACCACGAGAAGAGGTAGGATCTGACCAGAGAAGCAGAACTCTGCCGTGATAACAGTTTTCTTTCTGTTTCACTTCTTCCTGAACCCCTGCTCCCCCACCCCTGCGACCTGCTCTGACATCACGCCTGCCCTTTCTGCCTCCCATTGCTCCGCTCAGGGCCGCTCTGGCTGCACCTGGGCAGAGGACACAGAACCTGGGATGCTGGGTTGGGATGCTTAGGGCAAAACAAAGAGCCTGTGACTCACCCCACCCCCACCCCACCCCCGCCTTGGAATATCCTTCCCGCCTGCCTCTGCTCCCCACGTGTCTGCCTGGAAGAAATCAAAAGGGGGGGTGTGCATGGCTGACACCCACCAGGCCTTGCCAGGGCAGACCGGGAACATGGAGACGGAAGGGCAGGCTGGGCGCTGGGTGGCGGAGCCAGTGTGACCCCAGTGGCCACCCCACAGAGACCCCCAGCGGCCCCTGCCCCGAGGGAGCCGGGGGAGAAACGTTCCTGGTCCTGAGTGGCCTGGAGAAGCTCACAGACTCTCTGGCGAGATTAAGAAACCATGTCCCCATGTCCGCAGGCGTCAGAAGGCTCCAGACTTGCTCACGTTCCCTGGCACGTGCCTGAGGCTTGGCCAAACTGACGTCCCTGGTTGATTATGGGCAGGAAAACCCAGAGATAAGCTCGTCTTCGTCCCGTGGGTAACATGAGGGACTTTCCGGTCAGCAGACCCAGGCCCCGCAGAGGGACTGCCCTTCCCCTAAATTCTGCCCTCGGCCCTTGCGGTCAGGAGACCAGGGGCAGACACCACAAGGCAAGCGGGGCCTTTGTCCAGGCCCTTTGGGGACCAGGGCGTTTCTGGGGACTCCAGTGAATGGGGCGCTCCCCGAGTACAGCGGGAAAGCGCCCCACGGCCCCACCCAGGGGACCCACACCAGAACGCAGTGCGCATGCAGCTGGGCACACGGCTTCAAAGAGAAACAGATGTGGAGACAGAGGACTTGCTCCCGCCCCTGCCCCCATCCAAGCCTGTTCCAGAGCTGAAAACTAAAAGACAGTTACCGTGCCCAGCCGGTGTGGCTCAGTGGTTGAGCGTCGACCCCTGCACCAAGAGGTCGCTGGTTCGATTCGCAGTCAGGGTGCATGCCCAGGGTGTGGGCCGGATCCCCAGTGGGGGCATGCAGGAGGCGGCCTGTGGATGTTCTCTCTCATCGGTGTTTCTATCTCTCTCTCTCTCTCCCCCTCTCCCTTCCTCTCTCTCTAAAATCAATAAAATACAAACTAAAGTAAAAGTTACCGTCAAGATCATTGCAAGACCTGGACTCGGCTTCCTGGCACGGCGCTGAGCTCTGGAAACACGGCCAATAGTGACCGCTCTCCGGCTGGGGCCGGCTCGCTCTAACAGGAGGCCTCAGGCCCTCCGCCTGGGGGAGCTGCGCGGCCTCGGCGGGCCCTCCGGTTCCTCGTCTGGAAGCAGAGAGGCTCTGAGGCCAGGGTTCACGGTAAGACGCAAACAGCACACAGACACCGCCCCCGGCAGCTCTGCCCGGCGCCCCTTCGTGGACGCTTGTGTTTCCGGCGCTGGGTCAGCGACCGACAGACACCATCCCACAGCTCCGCTGACATCGTCCTCGTGCAGAATTAGGGAAAACCACGCTGCCAGAGTGTGGTTTGGGGTTTCGTTTCTGTTTTTGTTTTTTTGTCAGAGCTTTTTATATGTGGGGGATGCGGAGTCAAGGATCCAGAAACCGGAAGTGCTCACACTGCTGGCGAAGGGCTGGTGGACAGGCGAGGCGCTGGAACGTCCCTTCCGACGATCACTGCCGTCCGTGTGGCCTTCTCCCCTCCTGCCTCTGGAGCCTCCCAGAGACCAGGAAAGGGACTGCTCGGCCCCCTCGAGGCTGAACGTGGGGCAGGGTTCATGTGGCAACGAGAGCCGGTTCCGGATGTGCCTGGGGCACCGAAGGCCCCGGGCACGAGGGGCTCGCAAGAACAGGGCCTGCTCTGAGCGCGTCCCGGCGGTGGCGTCACGGCCCACGGCTCGGGCCAACGGGCACATGAGCAAAGGCGGGCCAGGCCAGGCTCCCAGGAATGCAGGCCAGCCTTCAGTACAGGAAGAAAAAACCCACACGCAGAGCCGGCCAGGTCCCTACTGCCCTTTGTCATCCACTTCACTTACTGTTTGAAAGTGTGACGGGAAAGATGGCAAACTTGGCAAGCCGGGGCCGTCCTGCGGAGGGCGTGGCTCTCTTCCGCGGCCTGCCCCAGATACCCCAGAAGCCTGGGCGAGTGTTCCCAGTTCAGCTGGACAGACTCCTGGCCAGCACTAGGGCAGGAGTCATAGGAGAAACACAAACAGCATGAACAGCACATCAGAACCCAAAGCCAGCAGCGCCCGCGGGAGGTTTCGTCAACCTTGAAGGGGTCAGAGGCCAGGGCCAACGGAATGATCAGGCCCCACCCCCCAGGTGTCTGGCTGGGGCTCTCACGGAGCTGGGGCCACGCCCAGCCTGGAATTCGCTTGGAGCTCACACTTCCTACACAAGGATGTCTGGGGCAACACCTCCCCTCCCCACGGCCTCCGGAATATTCCCAGGACAAGGGCAGCTCCTGGGACTTAGAGCCCTGAGACCCGGGGGGAAGAACGTTCCCCGGATCACTACCCAGGGACAGCACACTCTGTGTCCTCCCGTTTGCCAAGTCCTCCTCTCTGCTTGGGCAAACCAGTGCTCCCTTCCTCGGCACTGCCGAAAGCGGCGTGACCTCTGCTTCGAGTCTGGAAGATGCGAGGTCCCAGATAAGCACAGCTGGTCATTAGCGTCCCTGTGATGTTTCCCACCGCGGCCCTAACGGTCTGCTTCTCCCAGCTATTTTGGGCCGAGCTGCCCAGTCGTCCCACAAGGGCAGACACTGGGATGGCAGACTTCTGAATTCCGTTCCGAAGGGTAGCCACAGGCAGGCTGAGATGGCAGGGTCCCGCTGCCAAGGGGTGGGGGTGGGACAGTCTCCTCCGAGATTTGGAGAAGGAGCCGAGATGGAAACTTGGCAGCCAGACGCAGCCTCCCTGGCCGCTGGCCCGCGCTCCTTGCTCCTGAACAGCGGTGCCCGTAGAAGGTTCGGGGCAGGTGGGGGTCAGCACTGGCCACTCCGAGACCGAACCAGCTGGTCTACTTTCTTTTCCACTCCTCACACCTGGGGAAGACCCCTGTGTCAGGGGCACAAGCCTTTCCAAGGACGGCCCCTCTGCACGCTTGAGGCCAAGACGGGCAGCCCTGTGAGCCTTCCTTGTTCCACCGTGTGCTTCCAGACTCCGGTCAAGTCACAGAGCGCCTCGTGCCTCGGTTTCCCCATCTCGCGCCGTTTTACGACCCCATTTGGGGAAGTCCTTTTGGGGACTTGGCGTTAGGCAGAGACAGGCTGCTTAGGAATGTCTTAATACACAAAATGGGAGGGCCCCCTGGTGGGCTGCCGATTCTAAGCACGGGGAGTGAAACGCAAGCCGCTGGTGCAGCCCGCATAGAAAGGTCGGTGGAGACTGCGGAGGCTTTTCCCCGGCCCGCAGAGGACGCGAGGCGTCCACAACGCACACCCGGAGAACGAAAAGCAACACCCACGCGGCCGTGACCGCTGACTCACTGTTGACAGCAAGGGGCGTGAGTTCACGACCCGACAGGAAGTGTGTTTGCAGAGGATGCGACACCTTTGACACAGTCCTCTCTTCCAGGACTCTGTCCTACAGACACACGTCCAACTGTGCTCCAAGGACGAGTTCAGGGATGCTCCCTGAAGCGTTGTTGCTGCGAAAGCATCACAGGTACCCTGAAAAGACACCTCGGGGGCCTGGGGGAGCCGGTGACACCACAGCCGCCGCTCTTCAGAGAACAGAGCAGCTCTCTACAAAATGAGATGGAACAAGGTATATAGATATATATATAGATATAGATATTTTTTTAATGTTTCTTTTTTCTTTATTGATTTTGGGGAAAGGGAGGGAGAGAGAGAAACATCGATGAGAGAGAACATCAACTGGCCGCCTCCTGCATGCCCCCACTGGGGATCGGGCCCACAACCTGGGCATGTGCCCTGACCGGGAATCGAACCGGCGACCTCTTGGTGCAGGGTCAACACTCAACCACTGAGCCACACCGGCCCGGCAGAACAAGATATATTTTGACGTAAAAAGTTACAAACCTTACTGAAAAACATTTAAAAAAAAAAAACTAAGTAAATGGAAAGGCCAATTATGGTCTTGGGTAGAAGGGTCAATATCAGAAAAATCTCAGTTCTCTCCCAAGCAATCTACAGATTCAAAGCAATTCCATTCCAAATCCCAAAAGGTCGGGGTGGGTGGGATGTCGTGGGGGGAGAGGGGAAGTTGTCCTACGACTGGTGAAGGTCTATTGTAAACAGTACCACCCTGGCTGGTGTGGCTCGGTTGTTGGGCATCCTCCCCTGCACAGAAAGGCTGAGGGTCCGATCCCCAGTCACAGCACATGCCTGGGCTGCAGGCTCCCTCCCCAGCACCGGGCGGCACGAGGCAGCCAATGGATGATGTTTTGCTCTCACATCTGGTGTTTCTCTCTTCTCCCTTCCTCTCTCTCTAAAAAAAAAATCAATTAAAATATTTTTTTAAAAGAGGTACTAATGAGGGGAGTGGCCCTGGAGCAGATGTGACATATTATACCAATGCAACATAATGGCAAGTCCCCAAACAGAGCCCCACTCTAGACACTTGAGCTATGATTAAACTGGCATTGCCTATGTATCAGTGAGGGAAGGGATGGGTTATTTTCTAAAAACAGCACTACAATGTGTGGAAGAAGAAATACATATAGCCAAAAATAAAAATAAGAGAGATGCACAACCGCTCAGTCATCAGACCATGAGAATAATCGTCATGCCATCAGATTGGTAAAATTAATACACCTAATAATATATGTGGGGCAATGAGATCTCTCATCCACTGCATTCAGTTTTATTTCATTCTGTAAAAGTTATCATAGGCAGGCCCAGTCAGTGCGACTCTGTGGTTGAGCAGTGACCCCATGCATCAAGAGGTAGCCGGTTCGATTCCCAGTCAGGACACATGCTTAGGTTGTGGGCTAAATCCCCAATGGGGGACGTGCAGGAGGTGGCCAATTGATGTTCTCTCTCATGGATGTTTCTATCTCTCTCACCTTCTCCCTTCCTCTCTAAAATAAAGAAAAGAAAAAAAGTTATCAGAGGCATATATATATATTATTTAGGGGTGCATGCCTATTTGCTAAAATTATAAAATAAGGCAAGAGAATGATTATTGCAACATATAAAACCGTGGTTACATCCGGCCGGTGTGCTCAGTGGTTGAGTGTTGACCCATGCACCTAGAGGTCGCCAGTTCAATTCCCCGTCAGGACACATGCCCAGGTTGTGGGCCCAATCCCCAGGGGGGGGACATGCAGGAGGTGGCCAATCGATGTTCTCTCTCATCAATATTTCTGTCTCTCCCTCTTCCTTTCTCTCTAAAATCAATAAAGGGGGAAAAGAAATTGTGGTTACCTCTTGGGGTGGAAGGGAGCTGGGAACCAGGAGGGGGACCTGGAGAGCTCTCAAGATCACAGGATCCATGTTTCATTTTTTAAGCTGGGAGGCATATAAAGCTATAGATACTTTAGTAAATAAAAGTTTGAATAATTTAAAATAATTTTAGTACTACATGGTGTATGGCTGGGACTCGGCCAAGCATGATGGGAAACATAAGTGAGTTTAAAAAAGGTTTGTTCCCTCATCCCCTCCCCTCCCAAAATGCAGCACATTTCCACTGGATTTTTTTTAAAAGGCAATTTAATATATGTGTTTATGATTTGTTTGTGTGTCACAAAATATCTGTAAGAATAACCACAAGAATCTAAGAATAGTGCTTGCCTCTGGGGAGGGAATGCAGAACGGGAGGGGGGTGGGAGGCAGGGTTATTTTTCACTGTGTACCATTTACATAATTTGAAATTTCCTTTCTGCATCTGTTCCTTTAATGAGAGGCTCCGGAGAGACCCAGGACGCATGCCCGCAGGGGCTGCAGGCGCCGACCCCCAGCGCCCTGCACCCTCCACACCAGGCCCCTGCGCGACTCTAAAATGAGCATCATTGCAGGACTTGGGGGTGACCGGCAGGAATGCCCTTTAACATATCCACTAAAATAGCTCGGGAGGAGCGGGAAGAATCAGAGACCCTTATTTGGAAGGAGTCTGCTGCCTGCAGGTCAGGGGAACCCAGGCCGCTCCAGCGGGTAGACCAGCGCGCTGATATTTGGAAAGGGACCCACATTCCGACGTGGGCGCCCAGAGGAGCCAAGGGGGAGGGGTCCCTGAGAAGGAGGGTAGCGGAGAGAGGCCCGGGCAAGGAGTCCTACAATCTCAGCTCAAAGAATGACCACCTGCTTCCCCAGTAGCCTTCGCCTCCGCCCCCTCCCGTTTCTGCTCGGCGGACGCTCCAGAATAACGGGGCCAAGGGCCTGCGCGAAGGCAGAGCCGAAGTCCCTCGGCCCTCCCCCGGCCCGCGGTTCCTCTCCCTGCCTGCTCGCTGAGTAACAAAAACTACAACTCCCAGCAGCCCCTCGCGCGCCCGGCGCGCAGCCGCAGAGCAGAGGCTGCCGGGAGCGTGGTGCTGGGGGCGGGGCGAGCGCGCCGGGCGGAAGTCGGCCGTCCGCTCGGTCCCGGCCCTGCCCGCAGCGAGGCCCAGCCTTACGCGGGCTCCGGAGCCGGCCCGCACCGGGTGAGTGACGGCTGCCCCGCGGCCGCCCGCGCTCTGGCTCGCGACGGGCCCACCCCCGCTTGCCGCCGCACTGCGACCCTGCTGCGTCCCGCCCCGGGTCCCCGCACGTCCGCTCTCCCTCCGCGGGGGCGGGCCGCCTCCCTCGGACCCTGGCGAGCTGCCCCCTCTGCCCTCCGACCTGGGGCTCCTCCCCTCCTTGACCTGGGGGCACCTCCCCCACTCTGGCCTGGGGGCTCCTCCCCCACTCTGACCTGGGGGCTCCTCCCCCGCTCTGACCTGGGGGCTCCTCCCCCGCGCTGACCTGGGGCTCCTCCCCACCTTGATCTGGGGGCAGCTCCCCCCCCCGCTGACCTGGGGGCTCCTCCCCCGCTCTGACTTGGGGGCTCCTCCCCCACTCTGACCTGGGGGCTCCTCCCCCGCTCTAACCTGGGGCCTCCTCCCCACCTTGATCTGGGGGCTCCTCCCCCGCGCTGACCTGGGGGCTCCTCCCCACCTTGATCTGGGGGCTCCTCCCCCGCGCTGACCTGGGGGCTCCTCCCCCGCTCTGACCTGGGGCCTCCTCCCCACCTTGATCTGGGGGCAGCCCCCCCCCCTCTGACCTGGGGCTTCCTCCCCACCTTGACCTGGGGGCTCCTCCCCCGCTCTGACCTGGGGCTTCCTCCCCACCTTGACCTGGGGGCTCCTCCCCCGCTCTCACCTGGGGCTTCCTCCCCACCTTGACCTGGGGGCAGCTCCCCCGCGCTGACCTGGGGGCTCTTCCCCACCTTGACCTGGGGGCAGTTCCCCCGCTCTGACCCTGATGGACACCTCCCCCTCCTGAGGGGTGTGGGACACCCATCCTGACCACACCCTTTCCTGTGCCCTGCGATTTGAGGACTTTGAGCTGTGCGGCCTCTCCCCCGGGAGGGGTTAGGGCTTCCTCATCTAACTGACTGTCACACCTGCAGCCAGCCTCCCGCACCTTCGTCCTTCCCCTCAGCACAGCTCACTTTCCCTTCTTTTGCACTCAAACCACCCACCCTCCCTGCATCCCTGCTGTCCCTGTCCCCTCCATCTGGTCTGGAGCCCTTCGCCCCTGGCGACCAACACCTCCCCGCTCACCCCCGTGGCTCAGTGCCCTTCCCTTGTCTTCTGTGTCCCAGGGCCTGGCAGGCTCCTCGCACCTGTGCCCACTCTCCTTTCCCCCAGGCCCCTGGTGTCCCCCGGGAGAGCTGTGCGTCTTAGCACACCAGCCCATTTCTCATCCCCATCTTGGGGTCTGTGCTTGGTCGACCAGAGCGTGCGTGGGAACACGCGGGTGCTGCTGTGGGCTGCGTCTTGCTGGCTCTTCAGTGTCAGGGCCAACACTTGACCAAAGCTAGTCACACAGAAGGGTCTGTGGCAAGGAAGCTGGGCTGCAGTCCTCGGGGCGCTGCGGGGTCTCTGCGGGGTCTCTACAGCCTCTCGTTCCACTCCCTTTGGGGAGCTTCACTGACATAGATCTTCCTGGGCTGGGCCGCAGACCCTCCTCAGTCCCCAGTCTTCTTGGAAAAGTCCAGCCCGAGCCTGTGGACAAGGGGGGGCTTCTCCCAGCGCAGCCTGGGCTCCTGGTGCCCCGCCCTGCTGGCCTCAATGAGCCCTCTATTCGGCCCTGACTGCCTGCTAAAGGGCACGTTGCCAGGCCAGCCTTCTCCCTCTGGACTTCGGATTTCACAGGGGTGTCCCGGCCTGGGCAGCCCAGAGCGTCTTCGGGGAGAAGCGTGGCGGGTGCACCAGCAGAGACCACCACCGTGGTCTGGGGACAGAGGATTCTCAGTCTTCGGACTGTTATCCAAATTAACCCGACCACAAGGGCGATGTTCCATCCCAGGGAGGGGGAGGGAGTCACATATTCCAAAAGTACACCGTAGGATCCCTTGTGGAGGTGTAAATCTGGTCATTTGATGCCTTCTTCCCCTGAAGCTGGGCCCTGGAGGTAGTCCACGCCCTAGTTTAATGGCCCATAGCAACCACGTTGCTTTAAGCTATTGGTCTTAAGGACATTTTTATCCACCAGCCCAACTGTGCCCCGAATCCGCCGTGTTTCCTGAGCCCCAGAGGAGTGAGGAGAGACCCAGGATGTGGTGGTGCTCTAGTGGTGTGTTTGCCCCCACTCCCTGAAGGTAGCCTTTGGGGTCACATGCCAGGTTCCCCCAGATACACATGGCCCCTTTCATCTGAGTCTCGGACAACCATCACGGCAACCATATGGGGTAAGGTATAAATGCTCTGTTTTGTTTTTTCTTTCAAAAACAGAATATCTAGGATTTGGCCAGTTTGGCTCAGCAGTTAGAGAGTCGGCCCGAAAGGTCGAGGGTTCGATTGGGGTCAAGGGTACGTACCTGGGTTACAGGTTCGATCCCTGTTCGGGGTTATGGGAGAGGCAACCAATCAATGTGTCTCTCTCACATTGATGTCTCTCTCCCTCTCTTCCACGCTAAAAATCAATGGAAAAATATCCTTGGGTGAGGATTTAAGAAAAGAGAGAGCCTGGCCAGTGTGGCTCAGTGGATTGAGCACTGTCCCAGGGACTGAGAGGTCCTGGTTCGATTCCCACTCTGGGCACATGCCCGGGCTGCAGGCTCCATCCCCAGTGGGGGCGTACAGGAGGCAGCCGACCCATGTTTCTCACGTTGATGTTTCTGTTTTTCCCTCTTTAAAAAAATCAGTGAAAGCATATTTAAGTAAAGGTTGAAAAAGAGAAAATAGCTCAGATCCGAGAATATGGCCCAGAGTCCTGAGTGGACCGGCGTTAGGACAAGGAGGCCATGTCCCAGTTGCACAGACCCGTGGATCGGCACCCAGGACACTGCGGGGGGACGAAGCGTGGCGGTTCTTCTCCCTCCGTTAGTACTCTGGGCGGTGGAGATTTCTGAAAAGTTCTTCGTAAACGCCAACAGGAAGGGGATTTAAATGTTTATAGTCATTATTTAGGCCATTTATGCTGATTTAGACAGGACAGCTGCTTAGAAAACCATCTTGAGAGTGAGCAGTCTGGGAAGATGTTCGTTTCTCTCTCACCCGCTTTTCTTTTGAATCCCACTTATTTATCTGTAATAAGTTCTGTCAGTGAACGGAACTCACAGCTCCAGGTTCCCAGGCCGAGGACTGGGCCTCGGGAAATGAGGCAGGAGTAGGGCTGGAGACGGGGCCATGTGCACTGTGGCAGACCAGGGACAGTTAGAGTGACAGGTGGGAGGGAGCGAGGTCGGAGTCTGTGCAGAATGGCTCCAAGGGGTCACTGTGCCCCAGCAGCCCAGCACTGAGGACAGCGGGAGGAAAGGTGGGTTCGGGCAGGTGTATCCGCCGCTGTGGGAGCAGCCTGATTCGGGCCGAGGGTGGCATTGCACCCCGTCTTCTGGCCATGCAGGGCTGTTGAGGAAGGCACTTGCAGCCCAGAAGGCGGGTTCTGCTGCAAGTCCTCCGGGTGTAACAGACGATGCAGAGTGAGCACAGCCCTGCTGTGCTGCCGGAGATGTAGCAGGCGATGCAGAGTGAGCACAGCCCTGCTGCGCTGCCGGAGGTGCAAACAGACCGAAGCCGGAGCGCTGGGTGCGGATGCTCCGGCCCTGGGAACAGGCGGAGGTTCTTTTCCTTGTCCCCAAGATGTCCACGTCCTAGCCCCCACAACCTGCAAATATGTTACACAGCAAAGGGGCAGTACGGGAGCAGCTGGAATTCAGGGTGCTAATCAGCTGACCTTAAACTAGGGAGATCATCTCCCTGGCCGGTTTGGCTGGGCAGTTAGAGCATCGGCCCATGGACCAAAGAGTCACGGGTTTGATCCCAGTCAAGGGCACCTGCCTTGGTTTCAGTTCGTCCTGGGCCCTGGTTGGGTCGTGTTGGAGGCAGCCAGTCAATGTCTCTCTCTCTCCCCGCCCCCTCCATCCCCTCTATCTGGTGATTAAATAGAAAAAATATCCTCTGGTGAGGATAAAATAATAGGGAGGCCATCCTGGATTGCCCGGGACCACCCGGAGTGACCACGGCCCTGACCAGGGAGAGGGCAGCAGGGGCGCATCCGGGAGAGCGAGGCAGGCGGGCGCAGAGGTGCAGCATCGCTGGCTTTGAGGTGGAGGAAGGGGCCACAAGCCAGGGGATGCTGCTGGCCACTGGGGGCCGGAGATGAATGGCCAGGAAACGGAGTCTGCCCTCAAGCCTCAGAAGGATCAGCCCAGTGAGCCACTTCATGCCGCCGTCCTGGGGCCTGCAAGGTTGCTTTTTAAGCTGCCAGTGTTGCACTGACGTTACAGCAGCGACACGACACTGATACGCTCCCCTTCGGTGGTCAGCTTGAAAGCAGGGCTGAAGAACAGTCCCCCGGCTGTATTCGACTTCACCCCGGGAGTGGCTAGTGCCCGTTGTGCGCCGAGGAGGGGGCAGGATTTAGTGGGGCCGGAGAGCATTCTGTCAGCACTGCTGCCTGAAGCCTGTCTTGCGGTCAAGAGGGTTCGCTCTTTTCTTTCCAACCAGGAAGTGACTGGCAGTGAGGGCGGAGGCTGCCTGCTGTCTGGACACTAGCCCATCAGAGACCCGGGTCCTGGGAGCTGTGGCAGGGAGGGACGGCGGGAGGGTCTGGGAGGAGAGGGCCGCTCCTTGCCAGGCAGCCGGAAGAGGAAGAGGCCCTGGGCTGTGCTCTGCTCCCTGCCCTGCCCAGATCCTGAGGGGAGGAGCCGGAAATCTGCTCCGCCACCTGTCCAGACCACTCCTGGAGGAAGCCTGGGAAAGCTACCCCCTGGCTGTCCCCTTCCGTCTGAACCTTGTGTAGGGCCTGGCGGCAGGCCTGAGGATGGCCCGGGAAGGTAGGGGTGTCCGAGCCGGTCCGCACACTTCACTGAAGGTGGACAGGGAGGGGTGCCCTGTGTGCGGCCGCCCTGGGGTCTGGGAACCTGCACCCCTGGCTGGTTCAGGTCTGCTGTATAAGGACATCCGGGTGTGACAGGGACAGAAAAGCCTTGAGTCAGGCCACCTGGAAAGTGGGAGGGGACCGGGACCTGAGCCCCGGGCCGTGCCCTCCTGGGGCTGCTCTGGGGGGGGGGGGCGTGCCCTCCTGGGGCTGCTGGGGGCGGGGGCTGTGCCCTCCTGGGGCTGCTGGGGGGGGGGCTGTGCCCTCCTGGGGCTGCTCTGGGGGGGGGGGCTGTGCCCTTCTGGGGCTGATCTGGGGGGGGCATGTCCTCCTGGGGCTGCTCTCTGGGCCGTGCCCTCTGGGGCTGCTCTCGGGGCTGTGCCCTGCGTGTGGCTCTCAGGAGGGTCCAGCAGGGCTGCTGTCCCCTGGGGTTTCTGACGAGACGTTTGCAGACCCCCCCAGACAGGCGAGCCGGCCTAGCCAGAGCACCCTGATGCTTACTGTAGCAGCGTGGCCCCCGTTCCTGATGACCACCTGCTGCAGGTGGGCCTGGCCCCCTTCTCGTCACAGGGAAGCATGTGAGCTGCGTGGGCCTTGGAGGAGTGTGGGCACGGACACCGCGGGCGGGCTTGCTGCCGGGAGCCCTCTGCCCGCGCCTCTCCCCTTCTCCAGCTGGTTCTGCTCGGTGTGTGGCTGGCGGGTTTTTTAAAATAAAGATGCAGGCTTTTCCTCTGCCCCAGGCCTCCAGCTGGAGGCACTTGCCATCCTGTCCTGGGGCTTGTGGGCAGCTGGGCATGCTGGCCCAGAAGCTGGCGAGCCCGCACTGGGGGTTGTGTTCCTGCAGGCTGAGGTCCATGCAGAAGGGGGGCGGCAGGGAAGGAAGGAGCAGCCTCGAGGGCTGGGAGGAGGCAGACAGGAGGAGGACCCATAGTGTCACCACACAGCCTTGTCCTGGCTGCTGGCGGGAGCCGCTGTGGGACCCCGAGGGACTGCTCGTGGGGCCTCAGGAGCAGGCCCGTCAGTCACCATCTCCCGGAAGCAGGCCTGCCCTGGCACTGAGCTTCTGGGAGGGACAGAGGAGGGTGCTCCTCCCAGGGGCCAGGCTGCAGTCACGGAGTCACAATTCACCGTTCATCCATAGTAGTTATGACCTGACGGTGGGGATGGTGACCCGGGAATGAGAGGGCGTCTCCGGGGCGGTGAGGGTGGCAGCACTGGTGGCAGCAGTCTGCCCTGGCAGCGTGTCCACTGCACCTGCAGCCCTGACAGCTGGGCAGCTCGGCCTTGGGCTGGGCTGTGTGACGAGGGCGGGGCGGGGGGCTGGGAGTGGAGAAGCTGTGGAGGGTGTGGGTGTGTGCTCCCTTCAACAAGTGGGACCTGAGTTCCTGCTGCTTCCTGGTGACGGGCAGGAGTGTGTGGCTGTGGCAGGATCGGGACTCCTGTCTCCCAGCACGAAGGCCACGGCCACCAGCTCTGGCCACAAGGGAGCTCTTCGTGTGTGGCTCCCTCCAGGCATCGGGTCCCACGCACCTTGCTGCTCCTTAGAGGCTGCTTCTCCGCACCTGACCCTGTGGCCAAAACCTAAGACTGCCCAGAAGCAAGGAGGGGAAGGCATGCGGTCCTGTGGAAGGAACCCTTGCTGTGGTCCCCATCCTCAGAGCCGGGCATGTGGGGGCCAGGGGGCCACAGAGCCTTCGAATCTCCGCGCCCTGCCCAGATGCCACCTGGCAGCGAGGAGCATCCGCCCCTGGTGCCCCCCGGGCTGTCTGGGAGGAGGCAGGCGTGCCTGGCAGTCCCGTGAGGGCAGCTGAAGGACGGACTGGGAACCACAGCTAGGCTGGCGTGCTGAGTCTGCCCGGCGAGGCTGGCTGGCCGCACGCCCGTGTGCTGACACGCTGGCTCCGGGCAGCGAGGGCCATTCTGGCTCTGGTCCCTCGGTCACTGGCCTTAACAGAAAGGTGCCAGGGGACAGGTGTTGCCGAAAACAGAACCATTTCTGTTCGGCTTGAATCTGCTCTACGTTTATCCTTGAGTGTCACAGACACCTAGCCTGGGGGAGGTGAAGACCCGCGCTCAACGGGCAGTAAACGCTGTGGCAGGACAGGGGACGCGGAGGAGCAAGTGATGTCCCCAGCGTGCGGTCGTGGTGCCGGGTGCCGGGAAGGGGATGGAGGGCAGAGCCTCCAGGGAGGACTTCCAGATGAGGTGGCATCTGACAGAAGCGCAGACACACCCCCCCCTCCCCCCCCGCTGGTCTCTTGCCTGAGACCGAGAGCTCTGGCTGCGCTGACCGCCGGGCCGTCCATCTCGCCAGCTGGCACCGAGGAGACGGGTCCGTTTGCTCAGGAAAGACTCCTCGTCTTGCCGAGTAGGAGGGAGCAGAGCGCCAGAGTCGGGGTTTGATCAGGCCGAGGGGTGATCATGGCCACCGCACCACGGTGGTGCCGTGCGTTCTGGACAAGCACCTTCTGACCCAGCTCCAGTCGTGACCTCTGTCTCCTCCCCGTGTGCAGGTCCCGCCAGCCCGCCCTCCGGACCCCCGCCAGCCCTCCAGCCCCCGGGATGGAGTGAGTCTATGCACTCCCTCTGGGTAAGCGGAGGGGGCCTTCCCGCACTGGCGTCCATGAGCAAGGTCGCGGACCCCCGCTTCCGCGCCCGCTGGAAGGTGATCCTGCCGTCCGTCCTGGGTGCCGCCATCCTCTGGCTGCTCTGCTCCCACCGCCCGGCCCCAGGCAGGCCCCCCGCACCCAGCGCCCACAACTGGAGGCTCAGCCAGGCAGCTGCTGACCGGTACAATGACACCTACCCCCTGTCGGCCCCCCAGAGGACGCCGGGTGGGACCCGGTACCGAATCGCACTCATCGCCGACCTGGACACGGAGTCAAAGGCCCAGGAGGAAAATACCTGGTTCAGCTACCTAAAGAAGGGCTATCTGACCCTGTCCAGCAGTGGGGACAAGGTGACCGTGGAGTGGGACAAAGGCCACAGGGTCCTGGAGTCCCACCTGGCGGAAAAGGGGCGGGGCATGGAGCTGTCCGACCTGATCGTCTTCAACGGGAAGCTCTACTCCGTGGACGACCGGACAGGGGTTGTCTACCAGATCGAAGGCGCCAAGGCCGTGCCCTGGGTGATCCTGTGCGACGGCGACGGGACCGTGGGGAAAGGTGGGTGTGGGCCCCGTCCCTGGGCAGGGTTGTGGGTCCCTGGGCGGGGTCGTGGCGCGGGGCCGGGCTGCAGGAGGCGGTCACTGGTGCTGGGCACAGCTGGGTTTGTGAGGCCTTGTGCCCGAAGGGAGCGTCCAGGAGCGGGTGTCCCTGTCCTGCTTCTGGCCCACGGCCACGCCCAGGAGCACAGGCTGCGGACCGCAGCCCAGAGCCCTTTCTAGAAGGGTGAGCTTGTTGCCAGAGGACTGTGGAGAAGGGATTCTTTCCAGGGTGGGTGTCAGGGCTCAGTCCCATGCTGCTCTCGGCGCCTCTAGGGACATGGCCTTTTTTATGTCTTAAAAGTTGTCTGAAGAGCACGCTGGGATTGCACCGTCCAGGTGCCGTGCCCACGAAGCCCGGGGGTCAGATTGTTGTCACTTTGAACTGAGACCTTTTGGAAAATGTGCACCTCTCCTGGCCCGCCCTCCTTTCTGGAAACCCAGCAGGAGGGTCTGAGCGCTGACCGCACTCCAGCAGAGGCCGACGGCCGAGCTCAGCTGTGCCCGCAGCTCTGCTGTTGGCCGGCGGGGGGTCCCGGCCTTCCTCAGGCGGGAGCAGACCGCGAGGGGGCGCTGGCAGCGGCAGGAGCTGACCACAGCTGCCATGTGTTCCTGTGCTCTGCGGGCTTAAACCTTCTAGAAGGCGGAGCCCCACTGTGGGCCGCTTGGGGAACGAAGCCCCTTGAGAAACGGACTTGGAGGGGAAGGACGCTGACGCGGGCCAGGCAGCAGGAGCCGTTGAGATGGGTCTCACAGCCGTCCCGGCAGGGTCCTGGGGCAGGGAGGGGGCAGGATGACGCAGGCCGGAGGGCACGTGCAGCTGCCCTGCGAGGGTTGTCGGGCCTGCAGAGGGTGCCCGCCGCTGACCCTCCCGGAAGGCAGCTCGAGCAGGCTGTCCTGTCCACCTCTGATCACTACCTCAAGGGACACCCAGGGCGGCTGGGCCCACAGGAGCCGGGCGGGCGGAGGGCTGGCCGTGGGCTCGGTCTGCCCTTCTCGTCCCCCTGTCCGCAGGCTTCAAAGCCGAGTGGCTGGCCGTGAAGGACGAGCGCCTGTACGTGGGCGGCCTGGGCAAGGAGTGGACCACCACCACGGGGGAGGTGGTCAACGAGAACCCAGAGTGGGTGAAGGTGGTGGGCTTCCGGGGCAGCGTGGACCACGAGAACTGGGTGTCCAGCTACCACGCCCTTCGGACCGCTGCTGGGCTCCACCCGCCAGGTAAGGGCCACCGCCCAGGGGTGTCTGGTTTCCTTTCTCGCTGCGATGGTTTCCGATGGTTTCCGCTCTCTGATGGCTGCTCCCCTCAGCCGTGGACTCTGGGGCAGATGAGGCATTTTCTGTCACCCCCACTCACCGGACGTGCCCTGCTGCCCCCAGGCGCAGGCAGGGCAGAACTCTGCCCCTTACCCTGGCCTCCCGAGCTGTCACCCCGCAGTGGGGCTGCGACGCTTGGAGCGGCCTGGCCAGCTCTGGGCTTGGGGGGCCACGGGCCTCCAGTGGGGAGCAGCCGTGCTGCCTCGTCTCCTCGGGCACCTCCCCCTCCGCCCTGCCTGCACCACAGGGCGCCTGGTCTGCTCCCTCCCTGGCGCCGTGCGCCCTGACCAGCTCTAGGGGAGCAGACTGACCGCACGGCTGGGCCTCGGCAGCTCCGGGAAGCCGGCCGGGCAGGCGGGCCCGGGACAGGAAGGCTCCCGCAGGCGCTGCCCGGCTGCTTCTCGGGGCGACGAGAACGGGCACCGGGAGGCCCGGGGGGTGGTGCCCCTGCTGGCTGGCAGTGCCCACGTGCGTGCCGGGCGCTGGGCCGCGCTGAGGCCCTGCGGTGTGTCCCCAGGCTACCTCATCCACGAGTCCGCCTGCTGGAGCGACACGCTGCAGCGCTGGTTCTTCCTGCCGCGCCGGGCCAGCCGCGAGCGCTACAGCGAGAGGGACGACGAGCGCAGGGGCACCAACCTGCTGCTGAGCGCCAGCCCCGACTTCAGGGACATCTCCGTCAGCCGCGTCGGGGACGTGGTCCCCACGCACGGCTTCTCCTCCTTCAAGTTCGTCCCCGGCACCGACGACCAGGTCGTGGTGGCTCTCAAGTCCGAGGAGGACGGCGGCAAGGTCGCCACCTACATCATGGCCTTCACTCTGGACGGGCGCTTCCTCCTGCCCGAGACGAAGGTCGGGAGTGTGAAGTACGAAGGGATAGAGTTTGTTTGACTTTTAAAAGGCCGAGGAAGAGCAAGTTTAAGTGACATCAGGACTCAGATTCTATACAAAGCAGAGGATGCCCTTTTCTGGTGTGTGTCTGGCTTTTTCTTCCAGGGACTCTGAGGAGGGGTGTGGGGCTCAGAGGCCTCCGCTGCAGGGTCAGCCGGCCTGTGGAGCGGCCCCCCGACGCCCAGCGGAGGGCAGTCTCCAGGGCCCGCAGTCCCGTGCGCTGCCATCTGGCGGCAGAAGCGGGCATTGCAGGCACCGCAGTGTGGGGCCCGGCCCCCTAATTCTCCCGCGCCCTGCCTTCCATCTGACCTCCCTTTTCTTTCTGTTGTTCTTTTGTTCAATAAATGTTTCTTGAGCTCCCAGCCTGTGTGGGCCCTGAGCCCTGGGGGACACGGCGTTGACTCTGAAGTGCACCTTCTTGGGAGCTCCACCCTCCACCTGCCCCGGCCTCCTGCCCGGAAAGGACCTGTGAGCAAGGGCAGGCTCTGCGGACACGTCCCCCAGAATGTCGCAGGAAAAGTCACTAGCCCTCCTGTGTGTCCCCGAGCCTCACATCCGACAATCTCGATTCCACGTGGCCGGTTCCGTTTCCTCCCTCCAGGAAAACTCTATGGCTCCATAGCTCTTTGAAGTTTTAATTACTCTCATTAAAGCAGTTTCCTTTCTTGTGAGGGGGAACCACCAAACCTACCGCACGGCCAAGTCCTTCCGTTAGCAGACGCATTCCCCTCAGTGAGACCTGGGACTTGGCCGCAGCGGGCACAGCGAGTCCCGCACTGAGCCGCGGCCAACGGCAGCAGAGACGAGGGACACCGGCTTCTAGCGGCAGCCTCGTGCCTCTAAAGCTTCCCACGGCGACTTGGATTTTGTTTCCTGGCCCCAGTGAGCCCCTGGGTGCTGGCACGCCTCCGCCGGAGTGGCCAGGCGGCCGGCCCTGCCCTGCCCCTTCCTCTCCTGGTGGGAGCTTCGCAGCCTCTTCTCCGGGAGCCAGACTCCAGCTTTCCTGCCCCAGTGAGCCCCTGGGTGCTGGCTCGCCTCCGCCGGAGTGGCCAGGCGGCCGGCCCTGCCCTGCCCCTTCCTCTCCTGGTGGGAGCTTTGCAGCCTCTTCTCCGGGGAACCAGACTCCAGCTTGTCTAGGTCCCTGCGTCTGCTCTCATGCTCCAGGGCAAAGGCAGAGGGTTTGAGACGAGGTCAGCTGGGACCCAAGCTGAGGAGGGCGCTGTGGTGGCAGGAAGGCCACCTCCTCAGCTCTGGCCGCAGGCTTCTCGACGTGTCACCGAGCACCAGGCGGGAGCCCAGCGAGGGTCCCTCTTCCTCACACTGCTCCCTCGCGTGTTTCCTCTACTGAGGCACAGCCAGCGGGAGGACAGAGGCCAAGCCGTGGACGCTGACATTCCTCGAACGCGGCTCCCAGTGGACACGCCTCTTCTGATGGTGCCCGGCGGGTCCCCGCGCCACCTCCTCGGTGAAGGTCAGGGCTCTGGCACTGGATGCATTTAAAAGTGCAGAGACGGAGTTAAGAGGGTGGGGGACTTGGGACAGTCACCGGGCTGAGACCTGAGGCATTCATGTGGACGCCTCAGCCGTGGCCAGGGTGCCCACCCCACCCCGGTGATTCTGAGACAGTTTACAGCTGCCCCTCCCCCCATGTTCGCAGTGTGATCGTATTGACCGGCCCCTTGGCCGTTGTGTTGTGAACAATAAAGTGGGAGGGGCCGAGAGTTCTCCGTCTGCTCTCTGTGTTGGCGCCAGGGCTCGCGCTGGGATGTGGGGAGACCGGGAGGCCTGCACCCCGCCCTGACGCGCCATGGAGTTCGTTCTTGGGCAGCCGCCCTCTGAGTCGTCGAGTCCAGCTCTTCCTGAAGATGCCCTACTGGGCTCTGCGGTCGTTCTCGGCCCCGTGGCTGCCGTGTCCCGGCCTTCCTGGCTGTGTGACCTTGGCAGACGGCCCGACCTCAAGGCCTGGGTTTCCTCCTCTGTGAACGGGCGGCAACAATAGAGCCATTCACAGAGCCACCAGGACACGGTGCCGTCACGCCCAGAGGTGTGGGGGTTACCGTGCACCTGCCAGAGCCGGGGGCGGGGGCTCAGGCGACAGGTCCAGAATGGGCTGGTGACTGCAGGGACTGCTCGGCTCAAAGGACACCAGGAGGGAGGGCCTGGGAAGAAGGCCTGAGCCAAGGGAGACCAGGAGAGAGTGGTGTCACAGAAGCCAGCGCCTTCGTCCTCCTTTGTCCCCTCAGACCCTTCAGACCCCTCTGTTCCCTGCCTTACGTCCCCAGAGGCTGACCTGAGTGAACCCCTTCCATGGCCTCTGGGAGGCAGGAGGGAGGGTGAGCTGGGGTCCCTGCCTCCCGAGACAGCCCCCTGTGCTCTCTGCCGGCCCTGTCCCCTCTGGGAGGCAGGAGGGAGGTGAGCTGGGGTCCCTGCCTCCCGAGACAGCCCCCTGTGCTCTCTGCCGGCCCTGTCCCCTCTGGCTGGGGGTGGCCATAGCCCCAGGTACCATACTTTGTAAATAGCCCCCCCCCACTCCATTTTCAAATGAGAAGAGAAAGTTGCGGAGGTAGTAGGAGTGAGCCGGCCAGGCTGCGCAGGCTCAGGAAACACGTCACGGGCAGGAGAAGGGCCCCTGGAGCTTAGGAGAGGGAGGCTCAGGTAGCATGCCTGAGGGAAGAGGGGGAGGGTTCCCGACCTTAAAGCCTCAGAAAGGGTCTGAGTCTAGAGCCTGCTGTTTCCCGCGGGGACCCGGGGCAGGACAGCCCGGAGGACGCCGTCCAGGGCCGCAGGGAGGCCAGTGTGAAGGCCCAGAGAGTGTCCATGGCCAAGCCGGAGGACGTGGTGTTCTTGGTGGTTCCAGGACAGGGAGGGGCAGAGGTGGGGATGGGAGGGGGGACTTCACTTCGAGTCCCAGGAACCAGAAGCCGGTCCTGACCACCGGCTCACACAGGCAGCCACCGTGCCTATGTGGCACTCAGCTGTGGCCAGCGTGGGAAAGAACCACAAGTCATCTCGGAGCTGTGGGGCGAAGATCAGCTTCTTTCCAAGTGTTAATCTTGTCTTCTTACGTGTTTTATTTACTTATTATTTATTTAAAGTTCTTTTTCTTTTATTATTATTTTTTTTTTATCCTCACCCAAGGATATTTTCCATTTTTTGTACAGATAGAGTGGGAGGGAGAGAGAGGAAGGAGAGAGAGAGAACATCGACGTGAAGGGACACATCGAGTGGCTGCCACCCGCACGACCAACCAGGGCCGGGGACAAACTGCAACCGAAGTACGTGCCCTTAGCGGGAACCGAACCCGGGTCTCTCCGGACCGCAGGCCGACGCTCTAACCGCTGAGCCAAACTGGCCAGGGCTAAAGTTCTTTTTCTTTATTGATTTTAGAGAGAGAGGAAGGGAGAGGGAGAGAGAGAGAGAAACATCGATGAGGGAGAACATCGATTGGCCGCCTCCTGCGTGCCCCCCACTGGGGATGGGCCCACGACCTGGGAATCAAACCGGCGACTTCCTTGTGCAGGGTCGATGCTCAGCCACTGAGCCACACCGGCCAACTTTCTTGTGCATTTTAAATTGGTAAATTCTAAAGTAAATTATACCTTAATAAAATTGTTAAAAGATTTAATGAAGCAAAAGTAAAACACCTTCCACAAAAATTCCAAGCTCAAATGGCTGTACTGATTCATTGTACCCGACATTTAAGGAAGAAATTAATTCCAAGCCAACACAAAACGTTTCAATGGGAAAATTCTAGAACAATGTCATTTACAGTAGCACCAATAAAACAGGAGCAGACGAATCGAAGAAAATCTGTGCGAAGTCTATTGGCTGAAACTGCGAAATGCAGAGGAAAGAGCCAGAGAAGGGTCCAGATAAATGGAAGGCGATCCACTGTCTCCATGGACGGGAAGACGCGCTGTGGGGGGCAACCTTGAGGGACTCCCTATCTGGCTTCCACTGTGCACTTGTAGACTTAGTGCGGCAGCCCGTCATCAGAACAGTGTGGTGTGAGCTTAAGAACAGGCATGGAAGTCAGCGGAACAGAGAGGGTCCAGAAATAGACCCACATGTGTAAAGGTGGCAGAGTGACTCGGTGGGGAAAGACTCTCTTCCCGCAGGGTTGGCACAACGCCCTTCTCCATGGAAGGAGATCGAAACTCTTGTCCCCCACTGTACACAAAGTTGACTCAGAATAGAACTCAGACCCGCATGTAAGAGGTAAAACTACAAAACTAAGAGCAAGTCTGTATGACTGGGTTAGGCAGGGGCTCTTACACACGAGACCAAAGGGGTGATAAATGGAGCTTTACCCACATCCAGAACCTTCGCTCTACCGTTAAGAAGATGAAAAGGCGGCTTTCATCCGGAAGCAGCCTTGCACATCACAGTACCTGCTGAAGGACTTGTAGCCACAATATGTGAAGAGCTTATGCAACTCAGTAACAAGACGACCACATCAAAAATGTGCACAAGAGCCCTGGCCGGTTTGGCTCAGCGGTTAGAGCGTCAGCCTGCGGTCCAGAGAGACCCGGGTTCGGTTCCCGCTAAGGGCATGTGCCTCGGTTGCAGTTTGTCCCCGGCCCTGGTTGGTCGTGCGGGTGGCAGCCACTCGATGTGTCCCTTTCACGTCAGTGTTTCTCTCTCCCTCTCTCTCTCTCCCCCCCGTCCCTTACTCCCTCCCTGTCTGAATAAAAAATGGAAAACTGTCCTTGGGTGAGGATTAAAAAAAAAAAATGTGCACAAGATTTAAATAAGTGCTTCGCCAAAGAGGATGTCTGAAGGACAAATAAGCATGTGCAAAGATGCTCGATATCATTAGTCATTGAAACCACCACGAGATTCCACTCCACACCCACCGGAATGATAGCAAAAAACTGGCAAATGCCAGACAGGGAACAGGGAACCGAAACCGGTATTCACAGGTACGTGAATGGATCTCAGGTGCGTTGTGCTACGGAAGAGCAGCCAGTTACAAAAGGTGACGCCGTCTCTTTCCACTCACCCGAAATTCTCCAGCAGGGGCGCGGGCTGGCAGCGAGCAGCTCTGGTCGCCGGGCGGGGCTGGCGAAGGAGGCTGCAGAGGTTTGGGGGGTGATGAAAACGTCCTGCGTATTGTGATTGTGGCCATGGTCACCATCTGTCACCATTTGTCAGGGCTCGTTAAATCACTGCATTTTATCTTAACGGAAATGATACCTCAAGCCAGTTTTTTTGTTTTTATAAGAAGGAAAAGTGAATCCCAGCTCTACCCCTTCAGTGGAATGGCTTTGGGCGGATTTCACCTCTGTCTGTGAAAGGGGTTAGTTCACAGTGAGTGAAGCAGTTCGTGTCCAAGGCTTGCTACCTGGTGTCAGCACCGCGGGCAGGTGCCTACGCTCGGGGAGCTGGGGTCCCGCCTCAGCCCCAGCCCGGTGTCTCAGCGGGGGCTTCCTGGTTCCAGCAGCGCATCCACACTCACAACCGGGCCCCTGAGGGGTCTGGGATGTACAGTCTCGGTCACAGCCGAGCTACCCTGCAGGCAGATGGCCGAGCTCTGCTCCCCGTTCCCTTTGTGGGAGCTGCAGGCTGGAAAGGCCTTGGGGCCCGGGACAGACTCGCCCGTCTGCTTTGATGATGTGAAGGATTTTTCCAGGACTCGGGCTAAAGATTCAGCGACTTGAGTTTTTAAGCATTTCCGCCAGCACCTCCCAAAAGACTTCCTCTCACTTTCTGTCCTTTGGGCACAAATCCAGGAGTTCGTGTCCCTGACCTGGTGGGATCGTAACCACCCCACCCCGTCCTTTCCCCGGTTCTCCCCTGGACCTTCACGGCGTCTTTGGAGGGGACTCGTGAACCGCGTGGGCTCTCGGACCCCACGCCTGGGCAGCCACCGGCGGTGCGGCCTCGGGGCTGGCTCCCTTAGGCTGAGCTGCCAGGGAAATGCTGCGTCCCACCCGGGCTCCAGCCCTGGCAGTGCGCCGGCCCCCCCCGAGGGCTTGCAGACGCCATGCCTGTGCCGCCCGAGAGCGGCCTCGTGGTCTGGACACGGAATCCCTAAACTCGCAGTGACTCTCCTGTCGAGACCAGGTTGAAAGCCCTGGGTTAGTGAGGGGGACACCCTGGACCTTGGGACCCGTGACAGAAGCAGAGGAGGGCACTGCCTGCCCCATTCAGCCTTGAGTCCTCGGGACCTGCTGCCCGCACCTCGCCGGGCGTTCCCCGGGCACAGGCCGGGCGCCTGGGGCTCCTTCAGGCCCCTCCACGAGGCGGGGCTGCCCGTCCCGATCCCTCTGTGCGGCCAAGGGGTCTGCAGGCGCCGACCGCCAGGCCCCGGGCAGACGGGAGCCTCAGGACCCACGAGAAGGAGAGAGAGGCTTCCCCTAGGGAAACCCGAGGTGCTGGCTTTCTGTTGGGGGAAGGGGAGGGTATGAGGTGGGCGGGACAGTTTGCGTCCTGTCCCCTGCCCCACGGGGTGAGGCGTGGGGCGGGCAACCACTGCTGGGGCGGGGGGCACTCCGGTGGGGACGAGCACAGACGGGCTCTGGGGCCATTGCTACACATGGGGTCCAGCTCTTCACTGGCTCATACTTGGGCTGTCTCAGGGACCCCCCAACCTTCACCACCGCCCCTCAGTGAAGATGGGAGTGTCGGGAGCTGGCCTCGGGGTAGCCACTGGCTGAGCGGCCGCCGCGGTCTGTCCAGCCTGCTGGCAGTGAGGGAGCCCGGGGCGGCCCACATCGCAGCAGGGGTCCCGGCCGCCCCGCCATGCAGACCCTGCCTGCCCCCCTCTGCTCCCCTCTCCCCTGGGCCGGCGCAGGGTGCGGGACCGCTCGAGTTCAGCTCCGGCTGTCCGGCCAACCAGACTGCTGCCTTGGGCGGCTGCCATCCCCGACACCCACAGTCAGAGCCGAGAGGCAGCACAGGGAGCCCCAGAACCTTGCAAGCAGCCAACCCCAGGAGAAACGTGTGTCATGTGGTTTCTGGGAATCGAAACCAGACTGTTTTCTGAAGCATTACTTAGGACCAGCCTGCGCACTGGGTTTCCGGGGTAAAGGTCAGTCTGCAAGGGGACCTGCAGCAGGAAGGGGAGGCCCAGGACCACCATCACTGCCTCGGGGTGAACGGTAGGTGCTCCTCTCCCTGCACGGTGTCATCTGACGGGGCCAGGACTTCCCCTTTGCACCCGGCTGACCTGGTGCTCCCGAGCCCGGGATGCAGAGGCCCCTGCACAGCCGGGCGGTGGCTCACGCCGAGGACAGCAGCGTGCGGAGTGCAGCCCTGGCCCGCTCTGACCTGCCCGGGGCCGGGCCCCTTCGCTCACTCGCCCAAGGCACCACGTGGGCAGTCAGGCAGCCGGCTCAGCTCCCACTCGGGGGTCAGGCGAAGCCCGTGGCACGGCCCCTCCCCGGACAACCCCATCTGCGTCCTGGGCACCAGGTGCCGGGTCTGCGCCGAGCTCCTGTCCCAGGTGAATCTGCCTGGTAGTGGCTGCTCTCCTGGTGTGCCCGGGACTGAGGGCCGGACCCAGCAGCCGCCATGCACGCCTGTGAACCCAGGTGGTGTGCTGGGAGGCCAGAGGCCGGTCAATGGGAACCGGGTGCTGCCTCAGGTCACCCACCAGAGCAGCCTGGCTCCTGCTTGCTGGGTCACAGGACTCTCACTAAACCAGAGAGCCAATGACCGGCTCCTCCGTGGTGGGGCAGGGGGCATGGGGCCGGGGAGGAGCGGGACGGGGCCGAGGACAAGCTCCCAGCGGAAGGGCAGAGGAACACTGTTGGGACCGGCGGAGACCTGCCCCCACCCTGCCTGCTGGTCCTGTGTCCTCGGTGCCCCAGCCCCTTCCAGCCTCTGTGCCTTGGGGACACTGATCTGGGAGATGTCATTGCCAAGTCCACACTAAGCCGGCTCAGCACGTCCTGCCCATCCTGCCCACGTCACAGCCCACCCCACCCCAGCTGCACCCCAACCAGCCCAACATCTGTCCCTGCTGCCCGCTCTGTTTCCCCGGCCAGGATCTCTGTGGCCTCCCCCAGATGTGCCCCTCAGCCCGGCTCTCGCCCCCTCCCTTCCAGGGCTGCACAGACCCCCGGACACTCCTGCAGGCAGAGCCGGCTTAGATAGGCCTCTCCCTGTGGGGCCTGCACACCCCGCCTTCCCCACCCTCCCTATCTGTCCCAGCGGACAGCCACGCCCAGGCCTGGTGTTCTGAGCCACACTCCTGTTTCCTCCATCCTTGTTACCTGAGACACCCCCAGCCCAGCCCTCCCTCTGGGCCTCTCACGGGTCCTCGGAGGGCCACCTTTCAGGCAGGCGAGGGTCCCCTGGGCGCCCGTCACCCTCCCTGCTCTTGGGAGCGCGGAGGCTGCAGGGCCTGGGGGTCTCGGCCACCCGCCCCACCCCTGTCTCTCCTGCTCAGGCGAGGGCTCCGGGCGGCATGGCCCTCTCGTGGCTCCTGTGCGCGTGGCTGCTGGTGGCAGGGACTCGAGGTGAGAACCCAGGCAGGCCGGGCAGCATGCTCCCTCGCTGGCAGGTTACCACCCCTCGCAGATCTCGGCAGCGCTCTGCCCGGCTGGCCCCCTCTCCCACCCGAAGCCCCTGCTGCCCCAAGTCGTGTGGCTTACCTTCTCGGGGGACCATGGGGTCCTGCACGGCATCCGCTCCCAGAGGGGCTGAGCAGGAGGGGCCATCCCACCAGCCGATGTTGGGGACACTTGTCCTCATGCTCTTCACCCCCAAGGCCCGAGCGGCCTTCCTCATCCTGGTGACCCCACGGAAGTCTGCCGTACCCCCACTGAGAAATGTCCTTTGACCCCGTCGGCTCCAGCAGGGGCTGAGCCCTGGGTGCACAAGTGTGGGTGGGCCAGGACCCCGCTTTCTCTGACCTGGCTGATTCTGCCTACGTTTCCGGGGTCCCTGGGTCTACCCCCCCCCCAGGCACCCCACTCCCCCCAGCAGCCCTTGCCTCCGTGCAGGGCTGCCCCCAGGCCGACTTCTCGCGCCCCACAGGTGTGCAAGATGGTGACATGCGGCTGGCCGATGGGGACGCCGCCAACAAGGGCCGCGTGGAGATCTTCTATGGAGGCCAGTGGGGGACAGTGTGTGACAACCTGTGGGACCTGACGGACGCCAGCGTCGTCTGCCGAGCCCTTGGGTTTGAGAACGCCACCGAGGCTGTGGGCGGAGCTGCCTTTGGGCCAGGTCAGCCTGCCGGTCCCCTTCCCCCGTTCCTGGGCCATGTGAGGGGTATTCCCACTCCCTTTGTGCTAGCAAGCGCCCTGAACCACGTGGGCCCCGTGCTGGGGAGGACCACACTGCTGGGGAGGACCGCGAGGGGCCCCGTGCTGGGGAGGACCACGCTGCTGGGGAGGACCGCGAGGGGCCCCGTGCTGGGGAGGACCACGCTGCTGGGGAGGACCGCGAGGGGCCCCGTGCTGGGGAGGACCATGCTGCTGGGGAGGACCATGCTGCTGGAGAGGACCATGCTGCTGGGGAGGACCACAAGGGGCCCCCGTGCTGGGGAAGACCATGCTGCTGGGGAGGACCACAAGGGGCCCTGCACGGGGGGGGGGGATCACGCTGCTGGGGAGGATCACGCGGGGCCCCACACTGGGGAGGACCATGCTGCTGGGGAGGACCGCTCTGCTGGGAAGGACTGCAAGGGGCCCTGCACGGGGGGGGGGGGGGATTGTTGTAACCCAGGAGATCGACCACACTCAGACTCCATTTTTCAGTTTTTGGGGATGTTTTATTACCTGCGCAGGGACTGCAGCCAACCTACACAGAGGAGAACTGCAGCCCCGAGCTCAGGGGGAGGGTTGCTTATATAGGGCAGGGGTCATTCAAGAGTTTAGCAGAGCAAGCAAGCTGGGTGTACAGAAGCGGAGGCAGTTAGCGATAAGCAGGAGGGAACGGAGGGGGGAAGGAGCTGAGGCGAAAGGGAACTGGGTGAACTGGGTCAGCACACATCTATCCTGCTATTCATTCCATTATCCAAGTTTTAAAAACTAACAAATTCGGGACAGATATCAGCGGTCAGTCAGGAGCAATACACACATGTTGAACAGTTACAGTTTTATGGGGTGAAGGGAGCTTCAGTTTCTCCCTATCAGTTTCTTTACAGAGCATGCAGGACACTCTGGCCTTGGGGCCGTTTCTGTCCTCCCTTTTCTTGAAGGATGTTGCTTTTCAAATTCCCAGTGAAGGTCAAACTCTAGTTAATTTTTATGGGGCTAAAGCCCTCTGTAACATTCCCCATTGTTCGTCTTGCTGTCTCTGAGGTTGTTAATTAGGGCAGCTCAAAGACAAGTTGGATTCTAAGGACAGTGAGCTACAACAGGATCACGCTGCTGGGGAGGACCACGCGGGGCCCCACACTGGGGAGGACCACGTGCTGGGGAGGTGCCACCAGCTGGGCTCGTTCCCCGTGCTAGTGGCTGTTTCGAGGCTCCTGGGCACATCATCCTGAGATCAGCTGCAGCCCTTCCCCCCAGCCAGACTCCACTCCTGGGAATTGATCTTGACACAATGTATTCCCAAAGCAGTCTGTGCAGGAGGAGCTCCCCTGACACAGTGGCCGGGAGTCCTAAGAAAGGGAAATCATTGAGATTTTTGGTAACTTCCTGTCCATGAAGCACACAGACTATGAGGAGGAAGGTTGGTTTATGGCACAGTGTCACGGTAGTCAGTCCAAACCGAGTCCCGGAGCCCCCTGATTATCCTGCTGAAGACGCACGAGCCCAGACCTAACAGCGCTGCGAGGGCCGGGGTTTCCGGGGTTTCCAGGGTTTTCTATTCCTGTGCCATCGGTGTGGCTCTGCACCCGGCTTCTCCGGGGAGCCCCAGCCCACCCCCAGTGTCTGACCTTACTGTCCCACCAGGAACGGGCCCTGTCATGTTGGACGAAGTGCAGTGCACAGGGACAGAGCCCTCGCTGGCCAACTGCTCGTCCCTGGGCTGGCTGAAGAGCAGGTGTGGGCACAGACAGGACGCCGGCGTCATCTGCAGCAATGGTGCGTGGGGCTCCCCCAGCCCGAGCCCCCCAAAGTGCTGGGCCCCTGGGGCTGCCCCTGAGACCTGAGCCCCAGGCCAGGATGGTCATGCAGCTCCCTGCCCTCCCAGCACGAAAGCCCCCAAGCCCATCACACACCTGCGCACAGGTTCTCGGGGACGCCCACTCTCCAGGAGGGGAAAGCCTGCGGGGCCGGCCTCACAGCAACCAGCCCTCAGGGCCCTGATGGTCAGAATGAGCCGCGTCCCAAGTGGCCATGACGTCTGAGGCTTCTCTGTACCAGCCAACATTGTCCCGCTGGCCCTGCACTGAGGGCCTCAGCCCACCACTTCTTCCTTCCTCTTCTCCTTCTTTTTGAGAGAGAAACATCTGTGTCTCCCATATGTACCCCAACCCAACCAGAGACTGAACCCACAACCTGGGTATGTGCCTGACTGAGAATTGAACCCACAATCCTTCGGTGCACAGAATGAGGCTCCAACCAACTGGGCCACACTGGCCATGGCTGGACGCTCTTGATGCTGGAAAGGCCTGGTTACAGACAGCCCCCCCCATGCACCTCCAGGAGCCCAGACCCCCCCACTCCATCCACCTCCAGGAGCCCAGCCCTCCACCCCACTCCATCCACCTCCAGGAGCCCAGACCCCCCAACACTCCATCTGACCTCCAGGAGCCCAGCCCCCCCCTCCATCCACCTCCAGGAGCCCAGACCCCCCCACTCCATCCACCTCCAGGAGCCCAGCCCCCCCACACTCGTCAGACCTCCAGGAGCCCAGCCCCCCACACTCGTCAGACCTCCAGGAGCCCAGCCCCCCACACTCGTCAGACCTCCAGGAGCCCAGCCCCCCACACTCGTCAGACCTCCAGGAGCTACTCTGGGTTTCAGTCCTGAGTCCGAGTTGTCGGCTGTTCTCTGCTGTCTCACATCCACCTGTGGCTTCTTCCAAGACTCACACACAGGGCCTGGGCGCATGTGCACCCCTAAGGCCCGGGCTGCACCGAGGGAACAGGGAAGCAGGGGTCCCCCCAGGACAGAGCCGCGGGACAGAGGAGGCTCCCGGGCCTGGGGCCGGAGAAACACAGGCACCGAGTCCACCTGGTTTAGAGTCGGGACTGAGCTAAACCTGTTCGTGGCGAAGGAGGAACAGGTGGATTCGTTCCCAGCGATGCTTTGGGAGGGGGCGGAGGAGGGGCAGATGCCCGCCCACCACTCTCGGGCCCGGAAGGAGGCTGCTGAGGACCCCAAAGTTCTAGCATTGGGTTGCCATGGACCCTCAAGTTTCAGACCAGGGAGAAGGTTTGGGTTTCAGAAGGTAACAGTCTGGGTTGGGATTTTAAAAGGATGGGGCCTCGGGCTTTGCAAGTCAGCACCTCCAAATCCCCTGGAGGGGCCGCCTGAACGTGGGGGAGCAGATGAGTTAAGCAGGGGTGTTTGACGGGTGTGGGTTGGGAGGACTGTGGGCCCCTGTGGGCAAGAGCACCCAGTCTTCCAGGGCTGACGTCCCGCATGTCCCCAGGAGCCGTCCTGAGGAGACAGGGCAGGGTCGGGGCCGAAACTCAGGGAAAGAAACTGACCCCAGGGAGGAAACACTTCCGGTCACAGAGTGAGCGTGAGACAGGCCCCATGCTGGCCCCACAGCCTGGCCCAAGCCTGTGCCTTCCCCTGCCCCTTCCTAGAAACCAGAGGCACCCACACCCTCGACCTGTCCAGCGAGCTCCCCGAGGCTCTGGAGCAGATCTTTGCCAGCCAGCAGGGCTGTGACCTGTCCATCAAGGTGAAGACCAAGGGTGCCGAGCAGCTGGGCATGTGCGCTCACAGGCTGATCCTGTCCAGCAACCCCGAGGCCCAGGCCCTGTGGAGGGAGCCGGGCAGCACGGTCACCATGGAGGTGGACGCCGAGTGCCTGCCTGTCGTCAGAGACCTCATCCGGTGAGTGTCCCTGGGGCGGGGACTCGGTACTGGGCTGTGTCCCTGGGGCTCCCCACCAGACGGCCCTGCTTGGGAGTGTCCCCTCTGTCACCACCAGGGGGCCGTCTAGGAGATGTCTCTAAATCATCCCCTGAGAGAGTTGCAGGTATTGAAAACTATTCTCGGTCCTTTTCATGACTTACACGGCTTCATATGGCTGAAGAAACTCCTAGGAGAGAACAGATGCAATTTAATTGATTAGGAAAAACAAACAAACAAAAAAGAATAGAACAGGTTAGAACAGTTTCTTCCCAGCCAAGTCCAAGTGCTTGCTCGTGAGCCTGTGCCGTTCGATGGGATTTCTGGGCAGGGTGTCTGGGACCGAGGCAGGTGCTGGTGACGGTGGAGGGGGGCGACCAGGAGGTGCTGGGCCCCTCTCTCCCCCAACAGAGGAGACGTCAACCTCCAGGGCCCTGGGGTCCGCCCAGTTGTCGGTGCCCAGGACTCCAAGGAGACTTGAGATTGGAATGTGGGTTGATCTGAGGATGAATCGGGGGTGGATGTGGGCTGATGTGGCTTCAAACGGCCAGCACGTGGGTGTCAGCGGGTCGAGGGCAGGCGTGGAAGAGGCGGCATGCTGGGAGAGGTGGCCGGCCGCCGCCCACACACCTGCGCCCTGCGGGGGAGGGCTGGGACCAGCGCTCAGCTCCCCACCCCGCCCCTCCAGGTACTTCTATTCCCGAAGGATAGACGTCTCCCTGGCCACCGTGAAGTGTTTCCACAAGCTGGCCTCTGCCCTCGGGGCCCAGCAGCTGCAGAGCTACTGTGCCGGCCTCTTCGCCGTCCTCCTGCCCCAGGACCTCTCTTTCCAGACCACCCTGGACCTCTACGCCTACGCTCTGGCCACCCGCGACCCCGTGCTGCAGGAGCTCTGCGTGCAGTTCCTGGCCTGGAACTTCGAGGCCCTGATGGAGACCGAGGCCTGGCTGCGTGTCCCCACGGCCCTGCTCCGCGTCCTGCTCTCCAGGAGCGAGCTGGCGGTGCCCAGCGAGCTGGCCTTGCTGATGTCCCTGGACGCCTGGAGCCAGGAGAGGGGAGCCACCAGCGAGGCCGTGGAGGAGCTGCTAGGGGAGGTCCGCTTCCCCATGATCCTGCCCGAGGGCCTCTTCCAGCTGCAGTTCAACCTGAGCCTGTACTGGAGCCACCAGGAGCTCTTGCAGGAGAAGATACTGCAGGCCCTGGAGTTCCACACCGTGCCCCTCCGGCTGCTGGCCCGGTACCGGGGCCTGAACCTCACCCAGGACACCTACCTGCCCCGGCTTTACACCTCGCCCACCTGGAGCGTGTCCCTGACCAGGGGCTCCAGGGCTTCCTACCGCTACGTCTCGAAGTCTTACTCCTACCGCTACGGGTATGACCCCTACCAGTCCTTCCAGACCCCGCCACACCCCAGCTTCCTCTTCCGGGCCAGCCGCGTCTCCTGGTCGTCCGTGTACCTCTCCACCGTCCAGAGCTGCCGGAACTACGGCTTCTCGTGCTCCTCTGACGAGGTCCCCCTCCTGGGCCTCTCCAAGTCCGGCTTCTCGGACCCCACCATCGGCTATGAAAACAAAGCCCTGATGCTCTGTGGGGGGCGCTTCGTGGCCGACGTCACCGATTTCGAGAACAAGAAGGCCATGATCCCCAGCGCCCTGGACACCAACAGCTCCAGGGCGGCGTCCTTCTTCCCCTGCCCGGCGGGGGCCTTCAGCAGCTTCCGCGTGGTCGTCCGCCCCTTCTACCTGACCAACTCCTCGGGCGTGGACTAGGCAGCAGGCGGCCGGCCCCAGCGGCGCCTCCCTGAGCAGAGCCCGGCTCCTCTCCGCAGCCGGCCTCCGGGTGTCCCCCTGCCTCCACAGATCCCTCGGAGCTTAAAGAAGTTACTGGAAGGTTCAGCCAGTGCTCACCCCGAGAATCCCCAGTCCTCCCGCCGCCTGGCTGGCTTGTCAGGAAGCAAGGAGACGGAGCCTGGTGGCTCCTGGACCTTCCACACCCCTTTCGCTTGCTCGGTCCTCCATTACCCTCGTCTTAGACCATTAAACCTGCCTGGTGGTCCCCAGGTTCTGTCGGTCACGCGGAAAGGGCTGTTGAATCCATTCTGCGTTCAGAGGGTGGCACGCTGAGCGAGCAGACGCTGCCCCCGTCCTCACGAAGCCCCGGCCAGGGGGCAGGTACACACACCGGGTGTTTACAACGGGTCGTGGTGACGGAAACCGGAGGGTATTCGGCGGGGGCGGCGGCTGGAACTCCTTCGATTGGGTTCTGTGGAGGGAGGAGGAGCAGCAGACGGGGCACCGGGAGGGCGCGCTGCAGGTGGAAGGAGGCGCAGGGGCCTCGAACCCTGCTCCGTAAACCTCTGCGCGAGTGCGGGGGGATGCAGGACGGAGAGCTCAGGTCCGCGCGTCTGCAGGAGTGAAAACCCGGAGACGCGTCCGCCACCCGTCAGCGAGGTGCTTGAGCACAGGTAGACCTGCAGCGGCCGGTCAGGTCTGTCGGGGAGAAGGAGTGCGGGAAGGTGCTGGGCGACCCGCAGCATCGAGGCAAAGGCAGGAGGGCCAGGCCGGGGGCCCGAGAGCAGGGCGCGGGTTCTAAGCCTCCCCTCTTCTTTGTGACGCACGCCGGGCACACGGTTGGCCAAGCTCAGGCCGCATGCCTGCTGCCCTCGGCCGTGGACTCCGAGAACACGCATCTGGACTGTTTTGGCCTCGGGGAGGGGAGGAGGCTCAGAGCTCACCCGGTGGGAGGGAGGCTCAGAGGCTGGGCAGCCAGGACAGCAGCATCCCCCCCACTCTCCTTCCAGTAGCACTGCAGATGGTCGATGGACCCCAGAGACACAGCCCTCCACCCCAGCCGAGCCACGTCCCCCTTTCCCAAGGGGCGCTGGGGCTCAGGCCCAGCCTCTCGGCCACTGGTCCCGCCATCCCTTGGCACGTTTGAAGTCATTTTATTGAAGCCACACCGTCGACCGGTACCAGCACCGCTGGAGGAGAACAAAGGACGTGTGTGCGTGACCGGCCTCTGGCGCAGCGAGGTGCACGGTCAGCATCCCCTCCTGCCCGTTCATTTCGGGGTGCCCGGCCTGCAGCAGAGGGCCGGGCCTGCTCGGGGAACACCTGCACTTCTGCGTGGCAGCCGCGTCCCTTGCCCCCTTGCTCCACCCACGGGATCTGCCCAAGGGCGTGGGCAGCCCCACCAGCGAGGCGCAGGCTCGCTTCCGCTTCCGTGGAACTCGGGGGTGCCCTCGGTGGAAACATGCTTCCCTGGGATGTAGCGCCTCTAACCCAGCAGAGCCCCGGCTTGCAGGGGCTCCGGGCACCGGGCGGTACCGCTGGGGCCCGCACCGGCCGTCCAGAACCGCTACCTGCCAGGAGCTCGCGGACCGAAGGGCAGGGCTGGGCGAGGTGGTTGTTCGTTTGGGGGTTGGGGCCATAACTGATGCAGGATTTAGGAGGGAATCTGGAGATGGGACCCAAGATCAACTAACACATTGTCGACATGTCAGGCCCAGGTCCCTGTCCTCCCAGCCGGTGTCCCAGCCTTCCTATCCATGACCACGAAGTGTCGAGTTACCACAGGATCACACGAGCAGCCCCAAGGGCAGGACGCTGGGTGGGAGGGCCCTGCAGTAAGGGGCCACCCGTCACTGCTACACCTCGGCACACACGGGCCAGGTGAGGGCTGACAGCACATGGTCACATCAGCTTTGGTGACAAGGCCACGTGAGCCCTGGCAAGGGCCCCCTCCCGGCCACCAAGGGCCCTGGAGAGCCAGCAGAGTAGGCCCTGTGTCTGGAGAGGGGGCCGAGGGACACCCACAGAGAGCCTCCTGACCCCCACGAGGTGAGAGCCTGTGCTGCCTGTGGGGGGAGCCCTTGAGGACAGTCACATGACTGGCCTCGTCCTCTGTGACCCTTCCAGGATGTCTGTCTTCACCCTTCCCAAAGCTCCCATCTTCACTGTCCACCTGACTCCTTCCATCTGCGGCCCCCACCCCGGTGCCTTTGTGCATCGTGAGCACGCGACTGATCCCAGTTAGGGTCAACAGGAGCCTCGTTTTCTCTGCCAGTTACTAGTTTCGGGGTGCGTGTGGTTGGGGGTGAGAAGCGTGTGCTCCTGGCGGGGAAGGGGACTCACGGGGACTCGCACAGAGCCTGGCCCGCGGCCACGAGAGGTCTTGAAGTGCCTCTCCTCGCCCAGGCCCAGGCGCCGATGTGCTTGTGGCTCCTTAAGATGCCTGGAATCCGAGGTGACTTCCTTGCGCTTCTCCCACGTGGCCCTGGGAGAATGTGTCCGGCCCTGGGCCTCTGTGAGAGCTGGACAGAAAGGGTTGTGTGGCAGCAGCTGATCTGGAGAAGGTCACTGGCAGGGCAGGGACGTGCCAGCAGCCCCGAGCGAGGCCTTGCCGGTTGCAGGACTGAAGGTGGAGTGTGCCTCGGGCTCCTCCCCGCACCCCGGCCTGTGCCCGGAGAGTCCGTCCGCAAGTGTGCCCGCACCAGAGTGTGCCCTCACAGGGGTGTGCCCGCACCAGAGGTGTGCCCGCACAGGGGTGTGCCCGCACAGGGGTGTGCCCGCACTAGAGTGTGCCCGCACAGGGGTGTGCCCGCACAGAGGTGTGCCTGCACAGGGGTGTGCCCGCACTAGAGTGTGCCCGCACAGGGGTGTGCCCGCACAGGGGTGTGCCCGCACCAGAGGTGTGCCCTCACAGGGGTGTGCCCGCACAGGGGTGTGCCCTCACAGGGGTGAGCCCACACAGGGGTGTGCCCGCACCAGGGGTGTGCCCTCACAGGGGTGTGCCCGCACGGGGGTGTGCCCTCACAGGGGTGAGCCCGCACAGGGGTGTGCCCTCACAGGGGTGTGCCCTCACAGGGGTGTGCCCGCACGGGGGTGTGCCCTCACAGGGGTGAGCCCACACAGGGGTGTGCCCGCACCAGGGGTGTGCCCTCACAGGGGTGTGCCCGCACAGGGGTGTGCCCTCATCAGGGGTGTGCCCTCACAGGGGTGAGCCCACACAGGGGTGTGCCCGCACGGGGGTGTGCCCGCACGGGAAGTGCCCGCACAGGGGTGTGCCCGCACCAGAGGTGTTCCCTCGGGCTAGCAGGGCAGAGGCTCATGGAGGCCCCTGGGCGAGCTGGGTGGCCGGGGAGGACTGGGGTCCCTGCCGCAGATAAGGAAGGACGCAGTGCATGGAGGGAGGGGGGCCGGGGGAAGGCAGCCTGGGTGCTGGCCAAGGTGAGTGCCACGGTCCGTGACTGAGAAAAGGAGCCCGTCTGGCAGACAAGCTGAAGAGCGGGTACGGGGGCTCGGGGACCAGGTGCGCAGCCCAGAGGGGTGGCCCAGGACTCGATACCACCGCACTGCCCAGGGGCCGGCGGCAGAGTCAGGGTCGAGTCACAGGGCCCGGCCCCTGCTCACAGCTCACTCGGGCAGGCGCAGCCAGGGGAAGTCTGCACCCCGGCCTCACCTGGACCCCCACGCACCCCCACGAGACAACCTCAAATTCCCCTGGAGCAGGGGGTCCGGGCCCCCATCCTGTCCTGCCCACCTCAGGTTCTGGGGCCACACGGACGCCCGGTCCTGGCTCTGAGTGGGGGAGGGGGTTCAAGGCTTGTGCTAATGGGGGGCTAGAAACAGCACAGAGGTTCTCTCGCGCTTCCGAGGCCAGAAGTCAGAAATGGCAACGCCGCGTGGCCGCCACCTGCCTGAGGGCCCACCTGGGCACCGGCTCGTCTTGGGCTCGGTCCAGGCCCCCACGGAGGCTGGAGCTGACTCGATAAACTGCAAATCTGCTCCCGGGATTTTAGCAAAACAACACCCCCTTTTTACCTGGGGCAGTTAAGAGTAGAGTGACCCTCTGCAGGCCCCCTGCCCTGGCACACCGGAGGGTCAGTCACCCCGGTTAAGGCAGTGGGGCACCCTTTCACCACGAAAGAAGCTTCCCCCACCGCCCTCCCCCCAAAATCCTGGCCCCGGTCAATGGAACTCTTTCTTCTGAGAAGGCACGCAGGCTGTTTCTCTTTCCGGAACATTCCTCCTCCTCCCCTTCACAAGGTTAACACTTGGGCATCCTTCATTCTCTCCCCTTGGAGGAGCCTCGGCTCCCGGGTTGCTGTGTCCCCACGGCGGTCCTCGGCCGGCTGGGGCTCGGGCCCAGGCCTGTCCTGCTGCGGTCAGCGGCGGTGTGTCCCCACGGCGGTCCTCGGCCGGCTGGGGCTCGGGCCCAGGCCTGTCCTGCTGCGGGTCAGCGGCGGTGTGTCCCCACGGCGGTCCTCGGGCCCAGGCCTGTCCTGCTGCGGGTCAGCGGCGGTGTGTCCCCACGGCGGTCCTCGGCCGGCTGGGGCTCGGGCCCAGGCCTGTCCTGCTGCGGGTCAGCGGCGGTGTGTCCCCACGGCGGTCCTCGGCCGGCTGGGGCTTGGGCCCAGGCCTGTCCTGCTGCGGGTCAGCGGCGGTGTTTCCCCACGGCGGTCCTCGGCCGGCTGGGGCTCGGGCCCAGGCCTGTCCTGCTGCGGGTCAGCGGCAGTGTGTCCCCACGGCGGTCCTCGGCTGGCTGGGGCCCGGGCCCAGGCCTGTCCTGCTGCGGGTCAGCGGCGGTGTTTCCCCACGGCGGTCCTCGGCTGGCTGGGACTCGGGCCCAGGCCTGTCCTGCTGCGGGTCAGCGGCGGTGTGTCCCCACAGCAGTCCTTGCACAGGCCACGGGCTGGTCACCGTGCGTTCCAGCCCGCACACGGGTGCACTGGCCTCCCCGCTGCCACACCTGCCCCGAGGGGAGAGCCCAGCACTCAGACGTGAGTCTCACTCAGGGTTGACATTGGGGGGGCGTGGGAAGCGGAGATGACGGGCCAGCTTAGGTCGGCTTCGGCTCAGGGCGTGTGAACCTGCGGTTCTCAAAGTGGGTCCCGACTGGCAGCGGCAGCGCACCCAGGGAACTTGTTAGGAACCTGCATTCTTGGGGGCCCCAGGCCCCCTGCGTCGGAAGCCCCGGGTCGTGCTTGCAGAGCCCTCTGGGATTCCGGGGCGCTCAAGCCCCAAGCCCCGGGTCTGTTCCCCTCGAGTCCCCGACCCTTGCAGAGCGTCTGCT